TTCCATACAACATCCCCCTTTCTGTTCTGAACATGCCAACAGGTAACAGCAGGAGAAACTTTTAAAGGTATTTGTATGTTGAGAAACACATATATTTTCATAAATAACTTTTGACATTGTTCCTATTCTCCCATGCTTCATTTCTTTCATCATAGAAACAAAAGTACTTGGAATATTTTCTTTCTTTCTTTTTTTTTTTTTTTTTTTTGGTAACAAACACAAAAGTAATGTAACAATTTTTTTTTTTAAAGCGATGCCATTATAATTAGGATATAAATCTCCAAAAAACCATATGCTGTCTATAATAAAGGGCTATAACAAAGACATATATAGAGACAGGCCGACATAGACGTATCTGTCTATAACAAATATAGCAAAGATGCATCTTAAAGAAAGTACTACACACAAGGTACTTTTTTGTTATACTATAATTGGTTAGTGCACATCCATTTACAATGCTAAACTTACTGCATCAGAAGTGGTTCCAAATGAGCAGTTTTCAGCATCAGTAGAAAGGTCTCTGTTGTTTCACACAGCTTTGGCTTTTTTGCTGTGGCTGGTTTTGGCTCGTTTGGGGAAGGGGGGTTGATTATGACTAAATATGCAAACTGTATCCCTTCATACACAAGAGCAGTCATATCTTGTGAGATACTAGACTACCCTTCAATGAACTTACAACCTTCCTTCGAAATTTCCAGTACAACAGCCACATATTTAAAATGTGAGCTTAATCAAATCCTGTTGACTTTACCAAATACACACGTAGATTTTATTTGCAAAGGAGTACCTTTTACCCACACAATAATTTACAGGATATTATTTCAGTCTGAAGACTCATTTAAGCAGAATAATTGGCATCAATAGCACTTACCTGATTGTGTGGAATAGAGGTTATACAGCTATTTTCCAGCTCAAAACCATGCAATAGCCATTTTGAAAAAATAATGCAATGTTTGAAATTTATGAAAATTAGGTTTTTATGAGCAATGCTTTTGGAAGAGGCTTCTAGACACAAGTAGTGCAATTTGTTACATTGTTTGTGGTTAAAAGAAATGTGCCATATGTAATTGTTTATAGAGAGATACTGCATACAGACGAGAAGGTTTATATCAGTTGATATGTAATAGTTCAGCCACTATAAAAATTAATCAAGTCATGAGTATTGCATTCTGTCCTAAAAAAATGACAAGCCTCTTTTCACTATGAGAAATCAGTTACATGACTATCATATTCTCACCAGCCTATTGAAAGGACTAAAAGAAATCAATATCACACAGAAAGATGGATCGAGCATGAATCAATGTGGCAAGCACATAACCAAACAGACATGGAATTAAACAAGAAAAAAAAACAAAACAAACAAAACCAACAAAGATTGTCGCTTAACCTGTTTTGTCAGAGCTGGTATTGATGGTATTGGTAGTGATGGAAGTGAAGGTAGTCTTTGCGCTGTCCTTGGTAGTAACAGATTTCTGCTTATTTTTCATGGCTTCCAGTGCTTTGAGCTTCTTGGCATGTTTAGTGCCTTTGTAGTGGGCCGCAGCCTGGCTCTACAAAGGAGAACAAAATGAACCATGCAATCAGGCTCATTTCTAAACTGGCATTCTCTGTATTAGTACAAATACAGACTACCTTTCAATAATGGGTACCATTCACATTATCCAAGTAGTGACCAAACAGAAAATTATATTTAGAATGATGCTTGGAAAACAATGGAAAAAATACTCAAGCAACCCCAATTCGATAAATACAGTATATTACTGTATAACAGTATACTACTTTCAGACCAAAATAAGGTTGGTTTAGTCTACCATGCTACCATTAGTTTTTCTATCAAGACGTTTTTGCTTTCGCATAAAAAAATAATTAATTCTCAGGCAACGAGGAGGAAGGCACTCTCCTCCCAGTAGCTTTGCACTTTTCCAGTTTCTATTTCAAACTAGAGATTTTGTCAAAGCTTCCTTCAAAGAACAGTTTACTTTTAACAGTGGTATCAGGAACTTCTCAGCAAAGACTGACAGTAAAAAACAAACAAAAAAACCCCCAAACCAAAACCAAAGCCCAAACAAAAGAAAGCAAAACATAAAACACTCTCTTCAAAGCCCATCACCAAAGATTTAACTAAATGTGAGGCAGACATGCAATTAGCTGGTTTTCTTAGAAAAAAAAGGATTACTTTTGTCCACCTGCTACAAAAGGTAGTGTTTGAAATTCAAAGCCAGGAGCATCCTTTCAAAGGAGAAAGCTCACACAAATCCTGTCACAGTCCCAAATATATTTTGGCTACTTGATATAATTAAGCTAAAATGGATTTGTATGTGTACTGCTATTAAGATTCATGCATTACACTGGAAGCATCTTTATTATTCTAAGAGTTAATACTAACTTTTCTTCATTTATGCTGTGTTGCAAGTATATTTTCAGAATAATATTTAAAGTATAAAATTAAACCTTATACAAAACCCACTAGAATTAGTATGAGTATTCAGAGTTTATTTCTTCTCTAATTATTTAAACTCTTATAAGAAATATAGTCTTCCAGTTAGTAAGATAACAACCCAAAAAATTCCTTATATTTTTATTGCTGAACTTCAAACTTTATTGAACGCAACTCCTTTCTTACTTGAAAAAGAAATTATTAAGACTCTAGAAAAATAACCAAAATTTAGCTACTACAGAACTGAACAAATGAAAAGCAACTATGCTGGGTCAGCCCAAGGACCCACAAAGGTCAGTATTTCGTTTCTGGCATTAGACAATAGCAGATACTTAAAATATAAAAGGAAGGTAAATGCTTTCTACTGTAGAATCAGAAGAAGAAAAAAACACATATGTAATTTAGTGGCTACAAACTCAAAGGATCAAAGGGATAAAATGACACAGTCACTCAGCTCACTAAGCCACTTATGCAGGTAGAAGAATCCTGCATTATCTGGCATCTGTTAGTCTTTAGACCTTTATTTAATGTTATTTAATGTTCTGAATTTTGGGGAGAGAGGAAGTTCTAGTGAATATCACAGTAAGAGTGTATATTAATTAATCTCGAGATTTATGACTTTCAGCTTTCATAAAAAGTCATGATTCCTTCCAGATGCCTGAGATTTGAGAAGCTCAAGGTGAGTAGGAAAGAAGTGAGAGACCTTGTCTAAACCAATAAACACATAGATGTGTATGTGTATACATGCATAGATATACACACATCCATATGCTCTTGTTGTATATTGAGATGCATCATTCAGTTTGGTTGAAAAGCCAGTTTCTCTATACCTAAAATAATGTAAATATTGTATTAGGTACCCTTATTGAAAGAACACTGGACAGTGAAGTTATTAATTAGAAACAACTTGAACAGAAACAGCACAATCATGCACCTTTTACAATTCCCAACACATAACATTGAGACACACTGTAAGCCAAATACAAACAGTCAAGAAATGTTAATTATTGTTAAATTGAAGGACCAGTGTCAAGTTACGATGGTGTATTAAAAATGACATTATACAGTACATCCTCATGTTGCTATCATGTCAACTATTTTTACAGTTTCTAGTCAAATTTAATTATCAGTCAGATCCAGATTCTGACTGCACTTGTTTTCCTTAACTAATAGTGTCATTCTTCAACTATCAGAAAGGTAGACAGAACATAGTCCTTAATACTGAATTATGAATGTTGGTATTAGTTTCATACACAGCTCAACTTAATTCACAGAATTGTTGGCAGAGCACCCCAGGTTTATGTCTCCTGCATCCATAGTTCTCTTCCCTCCAAATTCTCATAGCTACAGCTCCACAAGCCTGAACTCAAGCAGAGTGTTGGATCCATAAGGAATATACAATGAGGCCCTACATAGAAACTGGTGACCTTTTCAGTGTTCTGAAATATATGAATGTAATTGCTCCAAAGTAGAAACACATTGCTCAAATTTACAAGTACAATGGCTGCTAAGCAGAGTTGTCCATTACTCACTTCCCACAGAACGCTGCCAGTTTACCCAGCCTCTGCTTAAAGAAGATCTTTATGCCTTTTTTATTTCAAAGTTTAAATCTCCATCCTCTGTGGGGACATGAAGCCATCTGAGCTTGTTTCAATATAACTGTAGCTGGCACATTAATGGCACTTCTATGTGAGAGCAGACAGATTGCTCCTAAGCATTTAACCAGCTCCAAATTAGCTTATGCTGAACTTTACAACTGAACTGGAACCCTAAAAAAAAAATTCAATATCTTTCCTTGCAAGAGTAAGATGGAGGAAATGGAAAAATATCCATAAATATCTTTTTCAGCACAGCAACATAAAATATGGTACCTCACTGAATCATTTCCTGTAGCCGTAAGAGAACTAAAATAATCCTCACTGCTTAATTGGCATTTATTTGTAGCTTATAAAACTCATTACTTAAATGGTATTTACTTGTAGGTTAAATACAAAAATAAGATAGATCATAACGTGCAAGTATTCCCAGCTTTCATGAAGAATTAAGAAATATTGAGAGAGAGCAGAAGAGTGAAAGACAAGTTAGTCCTACTTTTTGGTGCCAACCATGATGCTTAACTGAGTGAAGAGACTGTACCCCTTCAGAAAGGTGAGAAGGGGTCTCCTGGTATACTTCAGAGTTCAACAGTTGCAAAACCCAAGAAGATAATATATACATGTTTATATATTACCTTACCAAGTTGTGCTAGAAGCTGTGCTCAGATGAGTTATGAGCAGAGGTGAAACCCTACATCTACAGAAGCTGATGGGAATCAAGGGAGGATTTCCCTTTTCATGTTTTGTAAAGGGGTACTGACTTTTATAACTGCTTATCTTGATGGAAGCCAGTCCCCTTTGAGAAACGACTGTTTGATCTAAAATCAGATGTTCTCTCAAATGAAAGAGATTTAGGACAATCCTAAAGGAAAAAATCCCTATTACTAGGGAACACTTTGTAATCATAGTCAATCAGCTATGCTAAAAATCCTCTAATATTAAATTCTGTTTCTTTTTATGATTACAAAAGAACACATTAGAACATCTGAAGAAAGAGCTTACTTTCTTCTTTCATCATAGTTTCCAAGTTTGCTTCTCACATCATAGTTTCCATGTTTGATACACACAATTACCCCTAGCACTGTGAAGACAAGTCACTGTCGGTTAACATGTGACCCAGTCAGTGATGAAGCATGAGAAATATGTCAGATATTGGTGGTGCAATATTACCGTGAACTTTAAGAAACTATATCCATTCTTGAAAAAAGATGTCTAACAAGAAAGTAAAAGGTAGATTACTTCATATCTGAAGTTGAAAACTCAAGGATCCTTAACTAAATTCTGAGGGCTCTGATCCTGCAAATTACATCAAGACAAACTTTGGTCTGTGAGAATTACTTCAAGGACATGGCAAGATGTCTAAATATCAAATCACTTTTCAAGGGTTTTTGTAATGAAGTCCTGCCTAGTTGAGCAGTACAAGTCAGTTTAATCATCTCTTTTGCAAAACAAATAATTTCCTCTGTCTCCATGTATTTATCGTGAATTATTAGGGACTTTTCTAAGCCTTACATTTTGTAACCTTCCCAAATTGTTAGAATATAAAAAATATATTTGTCTATATAAACATTTGTTGTGTATATATATATATATAGTAAACACACAGACATACACATACCATAAAAGAATAAAAAATTCTATATGCAGGTGTGAGCAGTTAGAAGTAACAGCCATAGTTTCAAAACTCAGTTGTATTTTCTTTGCTTAAGTGCAATACTGTACCACAATTACCATAAGGACATCACATTACCAAGCAAATTGCAATGTGTAAAATATGATGAGAAAGATGAAATATTTTAAACAATCCAGACAGTATTCTCTTACAATTACAGTCATCATATCTACATGGAAGTATTCAAAATAAGTTTGTCTGCCTGACTAATGTACTTCAGTGAATCATATGTCTTTTCACTTATGTTCTTTAGGCATTGGTCCAACAAAAACATTGTCCTTAATTTTATGCATTGAGACAAAAAAAAGGGTCTCCTCTTATTCTCAGAGTTTTCAACTTAGCAGCACTGCATCTTCCGTTCTTTTCATATCCCTCCTGGTTCTTCTCATATTACCAGTCTTCTTACAGATTATTTTCCTGGTTCAGTCATTTCTTCTAGGCAATACCTTCATAATAAAAGCCAGCTCAAAGAAAAGAACTGTTTAAAAAGTGTAGTGAATATGTTCCACTGATTCTTCCTCGCAAAAATTCAATCCAATTATCTTGTATTACGCCTTTCTCATTTCACAACTTGTTTTGAAAGATGTCCATTGTGGAGAGTGCTCTGCTCCATGTTGTCATCTGGCCAATTAGTAGCAAGGCTGCAGTCTGTCTGCACCCTTAGAAAGCCCCAAACAAGGGCTGAGAGTGCTGAAAATTCCTTTTTGTCTATCTCAGATTTCAGTAGCTCATGTCATGTCTTTGTTTTTACCAGCTACTGGATGCTACCATCACCTCTGCTGTTATTCCCAGTACAATAGTAGCAATTTTTCCTAATACATCAGCAACTGATGTCAGGATCCTCCA